GGGCTCAAGCGTGGCAACAATTGTGAGGTTGGCCCATTACCGGGCAGTGTTTTGTTGTGTTGTGCATAGGGTCGCTATGAGTCAGTACCAACTCGATAACACCTAACAACAACAACAACAATGACATACCTTTCAAAAAAGTCCTGGTGTGGCGCTGTGGGCTAATGAGATTGCAAAGCTGCCGTTTGAACTGCAAGGTGGTTGGTTCAAGCTCACCAGCTGCTCCTTGGAAACCTATACAGGGTCACTATGGATCGGAATTGACTCGATGGTACTAAACAACAACACACTTTTAAAGGAGCCCTGGTGTGGCACTGTGGGTTAATGTGCTGGACTGGGAGGTCGGTTTGAACTGCAAGATCGGTGGTTCAAACTTACCTGCCGCTCCTTGGAAACCCTGTACAGGGTCGCTATGGGTTGGAACTAACAGCACTTAACAACAACATACCTTTCAAATGTGTGTTGATTATGCAAAACCAAGTATGCCCTTACACCTTGTCTTAGTCAACATTGTGGAATGTTAGTCTAAGAATCTAGATAGAGGACAGTAGATCCAAAGTCTTTGCGAGGTAGAATAATGTCCCCGAGCCCTCCTCCTCATCTATTCCTGCCCAGCCTCCCCACCCCTACTGATACCTTAGGCTAGAAGAGAAACAAGGGCCCCAGTGGATGAGGGGTCCTGGGGGCGATCTTCCTCTTCTTATCACATCTCATAATCCCATCCTCAGATTTAGTCACTGGGGGATGTCATTTCTAACAAACTCCTCCCTGATTCCTTTCTAATCCATCATCTTCAATAAATAAGCTGTTGGGAAAATACAAAACTGCTCTTCCATAGTCCTCTGTGTCTTTGATAAAGGGCTGAATTCTTTTCCCTTCTGAACATTATTTTACTTGTGTATGTGTGGTAGATTGATCTGAATTTGTTTGCACACAGGATGACTTCAAATAGGATTTCCTCAAAGAATCACCACCTCACACCCTATTGTTTTTGTTGTTGTTGTTAAGTGCTGTCAAATGGATTCCGACCCATAGCGACACTGTACAGGGTTTCTGAGGCTGTAATTCTTTACGGGAGCAGAAAGCCTCATCTTTCTACTGTGGAACAGCAGTGCTTAAACCATTATGCCACAAGGGCTCCTTATAAAGTGTGTTGTTATTGGTGTTAAGTACTATCGAGATGGCTGTGATTCACAGAGACTCTGTATAGAGTTTCTGAGGAGCAGCTGGTGGGTTTAAACTGCCAATCTTGTGGTTCCCAGTCCAGTGCTGATTGTCTAGTCCCACACCAGGAGCCCTCATATCATGATGGTGACCTGGAATAAATCACACACAGCTCTCGCAGCTCTGCGGTCAGACCTGACTGGCCTTCTGGTTTCTGTGTGTTTAATATCAGGCAGAGCTTTTGCCATGTTCCTGTTGATATCAGTTGCCATTGAGTCAGCTCCGATCCATGGCATCTCCTTGTATAACAAAACAAAATGCTTCCCTGCCCCGCACGTCTGCACACTTGTTGGTGTGCCTGAGCCCACTGTTGTAGCCACAGTGCACTTGAATGCCTTCCAATCCACGGAGCTCCTCTTCTAGCATGACACTGGATGGTTTTTGTCATCATCTGCGGGGTTTCATTGGCTCATTTTCGAAAGTCCTTTCTTCCTGGTCTTAGTGTATAAACTCTGCTGAAGTCTGCCCACCATGGGTCAGCCTGCTGGCCTTTGAAATAGTGGTAACATGGTTTCCAGCATCACAGTAACCCGCAGGCCAGCCCATTGTGGACACACTGACAGATGGGTGGCGGTTTACTATGAGGCAAGAGAGACTCATACTGAAAACCTGAGATACTAGAATGTTCTTGGTGGTACAGACACAGGGCAGATATTGTTAAGCTTTATACGGACCCTGATGTAATCTAGACATGGTAGACGGATGTTATTGAAGACAAGCTTGCTGAGTAAGCACTTTTCTTCTGTCATGATCATGTTTTTCCTCATCCTGGGAAGCTACTTTCTCTTGTTCTTCCCCAGGTGGAAGCTTGAAAGCTGCCATATCTGCAAGGAAGAAGTCCAACAAGTATTTCCAAGAGTCTGAACTCAAGGACATGCTTCTCCAAATCTCCCTGGGCCTCAAGTACATCCATGGCTCCGGAGTGGTGCACCTGGACATCAAACCCAGTCAGTGAGCTTCCCCCGACGTTCCTCAGGAATGGTGTCTGTATCTTTATCAAGTGCCCGACAGCCCACTTTCTCCATCTTCCCTGAAAAGAATATTTAGTTTAACTACTTTATCGATTTTCCTCCCGGCTCCAGGGGATTGAGGGAAGTTTCTTTCCAATCTAGTGAGGACAATGGAAATAGCTATGTATTTAATGTAAGACCCAGCAAGGGGACAGCATGTTAGCTACACCCAGATTGTGTTTGTATCAAGGACTGTACCCCTTCTGATTCTGCACTAATCAAATTGAGCAACAGATAGGTGGTTTTCTCCTTTGCTAATGTGAGATCCAGGAGCTCTGGTAGCGTAGTGGTTACGGATTGGGCTGTTAACCTCAGGGTCAGCAGTTCGAAACTACCAGCTATTCCACGGGAGAAAGAGGAGGCTTTCTGCTCCTGTAAAGATTTACAACCTCGGAAACCCTGTACAGGGTCGCTATGAGTCGGAATTGACTCCACGGCACATAACAACAATGTGAGATCCAGGGACAAGTTGTACCTATTTGTGTGTGTGTGTGTGTAGAAGTAACAGTACCCTTCCGCCAATCTCTTCAGAGAGTGGGAATGTTTGAGGTCAGTTTCCCTTAAATAGGAGATGTTCCATAGGATAGAAACTTTAGCAGAAATTTTGTTGGACTTTTTTTGAAAAAGCTTAGAAATCATTACGTAAATTGTTTTTGTTTTCAGGTAACATCTTCATTTGTCATAAGATGCAAAATGACTTTCTGGCAGCCCCAGAAGAGACTGAAATGGATAGGTCTGCCGACGTGACGTATAAAATTGGTGAGTTGACCTTCCACCCCTGTAAGAACTGTTGCCCCAGAAACCCTACCCCGAGAACTCCATTCATTGCTGCTCCATGCAGACTTGCTTGCAAAGAGGACTCTGTTTCTCCTCCCCTGTTTTAGGTGACTTGGGCCATGTGACATCAATAAATGATCCAAAAGTGGAAGAGGGAGATAGTCGCTTCTTGGCTGGCGAGATTTTGCAAGAGGTACAGATTAGGGGGACATGGGGTGTTTTGTAAACCAACAAACTGTGAATTCTCAAATGAAGGCTCATGATGTGAGAAATGAAAAAGCACACAAGGGGGCTTCAAAGAGTTTACAGACTAACTCCATTGTCTGTTAATTCCATTTTCCAAAAATATATTTTGAAGCCCCCTCATACATTTATAATTTCAACTTTGTTGTTGTTGTTGTTGTTAGGTGCCATGGTGTCGGTTCTGACTCATAGCAACCCAGTGCACAACAGAATGAGGAGACACTGCCCGGTCCTGAGCCGTCCTCCCAGTTGTCATAATGTGTGATTCCATTGTCGCTGCCGCTGGGTCAGTCCAGCCCATTGAGGGGTTTCCTCTTTTGCAGTGACACTCTGCCTTACCAAGAATGATGTCCTTCTCTAGGAACTGACCCCTTTACAACAGAAATCTGATCGTCCTCACTTTTAAAGAACGTTCTGGATGTACTTTCTCTAATACAGATTTCTTTGTTCTTCTGTCAACCCATGGTACTTAACACTGTCTCCTCTCCTATTGGGTCCAGACTCTGAAGAGGAGCTTTTCTAAAAATGCATAAGAAGAGTGGGTCTGTTCTTTGGCCGGGTCCTCTGTTGTTTCTCATATTCCTTAGAATCCCTAGGGTCTTGGTTGCTGACTGGAAAAGAAACCTTTCCTTGAGCCCTTATTGGTCCAATCCATCTTAACAGACTACCATTTTTCTGGTAACAGTGTAAATTCTGATCATTGAATGACCTTTAGTTATTGTCCATCTTCTAGACATCTGTAGTCAGGCCTAGGATGGGGTAACTTCCTTCAGGTTGACAATCATGAAAAAACAAGTCTTTCCTTCCAGTGATAAGTCACTAATGCCTCATGCTTCTCTGAGTTGGACAGAAAACAAAATGGTGCTAGGGTGCTGCCTGGGATTCCTCAGGGCAGTGTTGGTAATCAGGTAGCTGTTTGCTCCCCTCTTTTCTCCCCTAGGGATAAACCACAAACTCAGTGAGCATAGCTTTGCTCACATGTCTGGTTAAAGTGCATACACTCTCCAATGAACTATGAGTTGTGTTTGGGCTGAGATTTACTTTGCTTGGCCGACTAACTGGCCTTTCTGGCTTCTGTTTTGAAGAATTATCAGCACCTCCCCAAAGCAGACATCTTTGCCTTGGGATTAACAATTGCACTGGCTGCGGGGGCCCCGTCTTTGCCCATCAATGGCGTTGGCTGGCATTATATTCGCCAAGGGAACCTTCCGGACATTCACCAGACGCTCTTGGAAGACTTCCACGGGCTGCTCAAGGTGATTTCTCTTATGAAATGAAGAGAAAATGAAAATGTATTATTAGTTTTTATGACATTATAACAAGCCAGTGGGGAAAGGGACATGTAAGGATATTGGTTAACAGAAGGGAGGAAAAAGGAGCTATGATTAGGAAACTCGGAAAAGACTTGGGACAGACGGGAAACTTCTCAAGAAAATTTAGGAGGCAACATAACATTTTTTGTATTATAGTTAAGTCCTGTTGCTAGTGGTTTTCCATTTGCTCTATCTAATGATTGTGCAAGATGGGCAGGCCAGTATTCTGTTTTACAGTCAAAGAAACTAAGGCTGGTGGGTTCTAACAAACCACTGACCTTCAAGCTAACAGTGGAGTGCTTAATCACTGCTCTACCAGGGATCCTTGTAGGAGGAGGTTCCGTAAAAACCAAGCCTGCTGCCGTCGGGTTGATGCTGACTCACAGTGACCCTTATAGGATGTAACGGAACTGCCCTTAGGGATTCTGAGGCTGTTGTCTGGATGGCAGCAGGCAGCCATGTCTCTTCCTGTGGAGCAGCTGCTATTGGGTCCCAGCTGATGACCTTGGCCTTGCACTAGGCCGCTGGATTACAAGGGCTCCTTTTGGAGCAAAGAGGTCAAAAAGAAAAATTAAAACAAAAAAAAAATCTACACTATTGAGGAGTTTGGAGTCCTGGTGTGGCGCTGTGGATTAATGCACCAGACTGCAAAGCCATTTGAACTGGAAGGTTGGGAGTTCAAGCTCACCAGTTGCTCCTTGGAAACCCTATATAGGGTCGCAACTGACTCAATGGCACTTTACAACAACAACAACATCATTGAGGAGTTTAGTATAGCACCAACAAAACAAAATGTTTACATACAGTGTAAGCTCTTGCTTGCAGAACAGGGTGGTGTTCTGAAAACCTGACACCGCAGACTTGATTCCGGCTCACAGTGACCCTACACGATAAAGTGAGACTGCCCCCCAAGGGGCTTCCAAGGCTGTAAATCTTGACAGAAGCAAACTGCCACATCTTTCTCCCGCAGGGAGGCCGGCAAGTTCCAACTGCTAGGCTAATAGTGGAGTGCTTAACCTTTGCTCCACCAGAGCTCCTTTTAGGATGAAGTTCTAAACACTCAGCTCCATTGCCAGTGTTGACTCTGAGTCACAACGACCCTTTAGGACTGAGCAGAACTGCCCCTGGGGGTCCTAAGGCTGTAAATCTAGACAGAAGCTGGCTACTATTTTTTTCTCCTGTAGATCAGTTGGTGGGTTTGAACCTTCATCCTTTCAATTAGCAGCTGAGCACTTAAACCACTGTGCCACCAGGGCTCCTTAGGGTGGGGTTACAGCATCCACCCTGCCCCCCCCCAAACAACAACTCAGAACCCTAACCCATTAACAGGGGGTCAATTCTGAGTCATAGCTTAACAAGCCTTTAGGGTAGAGTAGAACTGTCCTCTAGGGTCCCAAGGCTGTAATCTTTACAGATGCAGACTGTCGCCTCCTTCTCCTATGAAGTCAGCCTGGGCGGGTGCTAGGCTGGAGTTGGTTTGGGTGGGTGGGTGGGACAGAGTCCTTGGCTGGTGGGCTGGACTTGGTTGGGCGGGTGGGTAGTTTCCTACTCTAAAACTCCGATTTTCTCTCTTTGGGGCCGACACTACCAGAGTATGATCCACCGTGACCCAGAGCAGAGACCCAGTGCAGCATCTCTGACCAGAAACCCAGTGCTGTGTCCCTCCCTGGGGAGTACAGAGGAGCTCTGGCAGCAACTGAGGCAGGAGAAGTTCAAGACAGCTGCGCTGGAGAGGTGGGCTTCAGGTGTGGGGTCAGGAGAGCCAGAGCCTCTGCCTGGCACTGGCCTGCCTGGCCTTCTTCCCTACACACACACACACACACACACACACACACACTCACATTGGTCTGCTCCCCCCTCCCCCATGCACACACACTTGCCTGCTCCCTCCCTACACACACACACTCACACTGACCTGCTCCCCCCACCCCATGCACACACGCACACTGGTCTGCTCCCCCCCCACACACACTCACACTGGCCTGCTCCCCCCCTACACACTCACACTCACACTGGCTACTCCCCTCCACACCCCCCCCCCCACTCACACTGACCTGCTGCGCCCTCAGCATTTTATTAGACCCCCCACAAGGAAGATGGCCACATGAGGTCCTTTGTGTAACATGGGACTTGGAGGATCTCTAACTGGGCTACTTGAGAGAGAACATGCCAGTTCATGTAAAAAGCAAAAGCAAAAGTGAGAAATTCAAGGGCATACAGCTGGCAGAGAAAACTTGTAGGATTCTCAGTGAGAGCAGGTTGACACTGTTGAGTGCTCACTTGATGTAAGAAAACAGGGTGGGCATAAACTACAATAGAAACCCATTCTGTTTCAGGATAAAGCAGGCAGGTAGATACACTGTCCCGGGACTTGGTTACAGGCAGAGGTATTTTCTAAACAAAAAACCTGACCAATCATCACGGAGGCTTGTATTCAGGCAGGTACTTACATATCCATCGAGTAAACAATGGGAATCATTAAATTGAATGGGTTTGGGGAAGAGACCAGGCAGTGAAGTTTGAGCAGAATTCTGAAGATATTTTTAAATGATTGCTATACATACACACATAAGGAGATGAAAACGGTTTTGCCTAAAATATCTGAGAAGTCCAACTTTTCTTGGATTCACTATACATCTTGGAAAGATGGGCTTTAATAGTCCTCAAAATGACTTCCTAGTAATAAACTGTGGAGATGCCAAACCTTTAATCTGGAAAAATTTCCAAAGAGGTCATGGGTATGTTTTTCTTCTAGTTTTGGATCTAGTTGTCCCAGCTGGTAAGTAAAGGACAGAGAGATCCACAGATGGGTGGGTATCTGGAAAGGCAGCCCACAAGGATGCAGAGTCTCGCAGACGTGGAGGCTTAACTGACCATCACGAGCCATTCCTAGGATGGACTCTATCACACAGAGAGGAGGGGGCAGATGTCCCCTTGAATTGTCCAGACCTCAGGCTGACTGGCTTTTTCTATAGAGGACCAGATAGTAAATGTTTTAGGCTTTGTGGGCCATGTAGTCTGTGTTAACAATTGTTAAGTGCCATTGAGTTGGTTCCAACCCATAGCTACCCTGTATAGGGTTTCCGAGGAGTGGCTGGTGAGTTTGAACTGCTGACCTTGAGATCTAGTGCTTATCCTACAGAGCCACACCAGGCGCTTTGGAAAACTGAGTTTGCTGTGGCCTGTGAGGGTCTGCGCCTTTTAACTATTTTTCAATGACACTCAGAGAAATGGAATTTTCCATCCAAGCTCAAGCTTGCTTCTGCAAATCCTGAAATAAAATAAAAACTCTATTTCTGTGCTTATTTGATCATAAGTACTCTCTGTCGTTGAGGAGTGAGTAAACCTTTGCTTCCCTGTTGTCTGTTACCAGGGAACTGAGAGAAGTTCAGCAGGCCTGCTCCTCCACGGAGGAGACTCACCCCAATGACCCTGAGGTCACCCACTCAGGGTCAAGAAGAATCAAACACCTGGTGGGTGGAAAGAGCGCAAGGCCTTCAAGCTTCACATAAGAGAAATCCTGAGAGAATCGTTACATTTTTCCTTCTCCATTCTCCACAAAATTCCACTCGTAACAGCCACCCTTCTCTTGGAGAGTTTGCAGACACTGATATTGATGGTCCCAAGCTGCCTCGGAGAATGGAAAGACAAACCAACATGAATGCCCAATGCTTTCCAAAGTCATTCCTCATGGAGTGTTAGCACCAAGACCCTAATGCCATCCAGGTTTCTGTTTAGTGCCCATTCCTAGATACACTCACTGGTAACCATTCCTCATCTCTGGTGTCATATCCCCAATGCTACCTCTGAACAATTCATTCATGTTTCATGTTTGTTGAAGAACAAAGGGCAATCCTAGGCCCTTGAACTGAAAGACGAAAAGGAAGTGGCCCTCGGAAGGAGTAAGGTGACTGAGGTTGGGTTTCAAAAGTGTGGCTTGTCTTATCTGATGTTGTTATTTAAAGAGAATTCTCAGACACTTTGTGTAAGTGGTTCACTTAGGTAGTTCCTTGAAGGAGACAGTCCCTTTTTCTGATGTTGTATTTACTAAGTAAATGGTGTCACAATTGCATGAGGTGGGTAAAAGCAAGACTATATACAATGTGAACATTTCTGTGCTGGCTGGTACCTTGTGGAACAAAAACACTCAAGAGTAAAGGACTTGGGTTTGAGGGAAGTTTGACTTAGCTGTTTTTTCCCAAATGTATTTGTCCCGGTCCTCTTGGGGCCCTTATTCCTGGTTTTGACTTCCGGGGCATCACCAATTTCTCTTGATCTTATGATCAGAATTGGGTTTTGTTTACTGTGATGTTTTTCATATTTAATTCAAATCCTTTTCTCTTAACGTATGTATTTTAAAGGAGTAGAGCATTTTTAAATAAAGTTTTAATCTTTTTCTCCAAAGTTGGATATTGATATTCTTCTTTGCGATGCATAGTTAACAAAGAATGAGAAACTTATGTTAGAAATTGAACAGGTGGGTGAGAAAAATCAGTAGGTTGGTAGTAACAGGCCTGGGCTTCCAGGCCCAGCTTTCTAGATCAGAAAGTCCGTAAGGCGCCCCTGGTATAAAATGCTATCGGTCATAAAGGTGTTTGTTTGATCCTGTCTGTGCCATCCATCACCTGTCTGTCTGTCTGTCATACTGTGGCAGCTTTCACGTAACGATGCTGCTGGAACCTGGCACTTCAATTCCCGCAGGGTCGCCCAGGGTGGACAGGTTTCAATAGACCTTCTTGACAAAGACAAACTAGGAGACCTACTTCCAGAAACCAGCCAATCACAGCAGAACACTGTCCCACTTGTTTGCTTTGGACACATCACCAGAAGAGATTCATCATGGGAGGAGAACACCGTGTTTGATGGGGAAAGCAGAGAGTCAGTGAGTGTGGGAGAGAATCTTAGTGACATGGGCTGGCCTGATAAGCCGCCCGATGGACTTGAACCTGGGAGCACTTGTGAAGATGCCACAGGACTGGGCAACCTTTTGTTGTGCCTGAGGTCAGCATGAGCGGAAGATGACTTGATTGCAGACTGTCTCCATCTCCACTCCATCTCTCTATTTATCCTTCTCTCTATACCCCGGTGTCCTGGTGTGGCACTGTAGGAGAAACACTGGACCACAAGGTTGGTTTGAACGACAAGGTCGGTAGTTTAACCTCACCAGCAGCTCCTTGGAAACCCTATACAGGGTCGCTATGGGTCAGAACTGATCTGATGGCACGTAATAACAATAATCATCTACCTATGTACTAATTTAGTTATTACTACAACTCTTTTTTTTAATGTTTTATTGATAGTTTACACGGGAGAACATTAGCTTTATATTCATCCTATTGTATATTGTTACATTGTCATGGTTACAATTCCCTCCATGCATCATCAACCAACCAAAGGGTACATCTACCAAGCCTGTCCCCTGGCCATCAGCACACAGCTCCTCTCCCTCTCTGGGTCTAAAGTCCCCAGCTGCTTTACTACAACTCTTTATCTATCTATCTATCTATCTATCTATCTATCTATCTATCTATCTATCTATCTATCTATCCATCCATCCATCCATCCATCCATCCATCCATCCATCCATCCATCACATCTATCGATCGATCTCTTTCATTCTCCCTCCTTTCCTCTCTCCCTCCCTATATTGCTCTTTCCATCACAGTACGTAACAACAACAACAACAACAATCGCTATCTTATTAATGATGACAACCTGTTCGTGGTCTGTAGTGTTTCCTGCTGTCTAATTGTTTTCTTCACCTCACCTTTACACAAGCACATGAAGGAGTCTTTATTGAACCCATCCTCACATCATCTTTGGCTGACCTGGAACGGCAGCGAGTCTCTTCCTGGAGTTAAGTGGGATAGAGTACCCTGGACAATCCATCCCATTGTTTTATAAACCAAGTCTTGTAAAAGTTATCTTTTGCGTCTTCCTCGGCTCCCCCACTTTCTTCACACTAGGTCATGCCCTTGCATTAGAATACAAGGTCAACCACAATTTGTGATTTACTAACAGGTATGCTAGTGACTAGAAGCTCTGGTAGTGTAGTGATTATGAGTCAGGCTGCTAACCTCAAGGTCAGTAGTTCAAAACTACCAGCTGTTCTGTGGGAGAACGATGAGGCTTTCTGCTCCCGTAAAGATTTACAGCCTCGGAAACCCTGTACAGGGTCACTATGAGTCGGACCCGACTCCATGGCACACACCCACCACCACATGTTAGTGACAGAGTGCATGGACCATCATTCTTTGGTTCTGCTCGTCTTCTCAGTCACTGATAATTACCATGTAAACCTCCACAGCCCCTTCTCTACCGTGTTCATCGACTCCTGTGTTGTTCCCTGAAAGGATCTGATGCCAGGCCATTGGGCTCTTCTCTCTGTGGGACTCCATAGAACCAGAAAGTCACCAAGAGAGCACGTATCTGCCGAGACTGTCTTCAGTGTGAGAGAGACTGAGTGGTCACTGGTGTTAGGATCGAATCCCGTCTCCTACGGTTAGGATTTTACTCCTTGTTTCAGTAGTGTGTCTGACTCCATTCTCAGTCGGGACATTCTGTTTCTATGAAATAACCTTGGAACTCATTATCAGAGTTACTTCCTTAGTATCATTGTGTTGGCAATGCGCAGGAAGTTAAATACTTTACGACATTTGTTGTAAAGTGCTATTGAGATCGTTCTGACTCATAGTGACCCTGTATAAGGTTTCCAAGGAGCAGCTGGTGGGTTTAAACGGCTATCTTGTTGGCAGTCCAGTGCTTATCCTATAGCGCCACACTACATGAGGTAGGTAGTTGCTTTTCTATGGCTGTATAGGAGTCCAGAGGAGTCCTGCTGTGGCGCTGTGGGTTAATGTGCCAGACTGCAAATCCATTTGAACTACAAGGTTGGCAGTTCAAGCTCACCAGCTGCTCCTTGGAAACCCTATACAGGGTTGCTATGGTTTGGGATCGACTCGACAGCACTTAACAACAGTAACAATAGGAGTCCAGAGTGGCGCTGTGGGGATAATGCACTGGACTGCAAGGTTGGTTTGAAGTGCAATGCCAGTGGTTCAAACTCACCAGCTGCTTGTTGGAAACTGTATACAGGATCCTAGGAGTCAGGAGTGACTTGAAGGCACTTAACAACAATAATCTTTACCATAAACACTGATGGTGACATGTAGCCACAGATAATCCTGACACTTGAAGAAATAACTTTTGTGCTTTGCTGATCTAAGCTCTAACGCACGTACTAAGCCATTATTGGTTGTTGTTGAGATGCTGTGCTGGACAGTTCCATGCACAACAACACAAGGATTCCGGTCCTGCACTATCTGCAGGATCACTGACGCGCTTGAGTCCGTTGTAGCCACTGTGTGTTTTGAGTTCCTTCCGACTGAGGGGCTCATCTTCCAGCACCCTATTGGACAATATTCTGTCTGTTGTGATCCCTAGGTTTTCATTAACTACTTTTCAGAAGGAGGTCACCAGGCTTTCCTTTCTAGACTGTCCACCATGGGTGCTGGCATTTGAAATATCAGTGGCAGAACTTTCTAGCATCACAGCAACATGGAAGCCACAGTAGGAAACAGTAACAGACGGGTTGTGGGTACCAGTCTAAGGTAATGATCTATCTAAAGCTGTAGAAACATTAACATTGAAAGACAAATGTCAACATTTAGCTTTTTCATCTAGATGAATCATACCTTTAGTCTGAAATTATACAAAAGTTGTCAGTTTGATTTTGTTTAGCTCAACAAAAAGTAGTCATACTAACTACAAAAGTATTGCACTTAAAACACTTTTAAATCACTTTAAAATCTATGCTAGTGACCACCTTAGGTAACAAGGGCTATAATTTTCCAACAGTTTTGATGAGGCTTTAGAAAAATTGGTTTAAAAGCAAAGTAGAAAATTGATTTCAAAAAGGCTTTTTCTGGGCCCAGGGATGAACTATAGAAAGTCTATAATATGTAAATGTATATGTGAGGGAGAGCTTGCAGGCTTCCTAATCCAAATGCAAACTACAGATTCTTAAAGGGTGACCCCTAATACCACAGAACTTCAAGACCCTTGATTCTTTCTTTGTTCTTCTAATTTCAGGCTTATTAACCTCTGGGTTCTTCCAATTTCTTTGCTCTGGCCTTGACCTAGGACTTGTAAAATCTGTGCTTGTTTGAAAGCACACTGCTATGTGGACATTCACAACAGGTCCTGTCCTTGAGTCCACCCTGGGGAAGAGGAGGCACACCTTCATATCATTTAAATTCTAGGGCAAGGTAGACAGAGTGTGGAAAGACACAGGAGAGCAGAGCAGGAAGGGTTCCGTGGAGGGGGTCTTGAAAGGATAGGAGGGCAAAGCCACCGCATTTGTTTTCTGGGGCAAACAAAACTTGGTAAGAGAATACAATCTTTTAGCTCAATCTCTCTGGGACATTATACTTAAAAATAAAATAGTTCTTTGTCACAGGAGTGGGGTGGGGAATAGCAGCCTTCTGCAGCCTAAGGAGAAAGTGTGTTTTGC